CCCCAAGCCCAGCCCTCGTCCCTGCGACTGCTGCACCCTGAGTGGACAACTGGCAGGATGCCCACTTCCCTGCTGCTTTCCAAGAAAAACGGGCTTCGGGGCCACCAAACAGGAATATTTTTCTAAGATGCATCAGGGCACAGTGATGCTGCCAGTGCCAGGACAGATTAAAACATGAAATTGCAAGGAGGAGATGTGGGGATGCAGCTGGGGCAGCCGGTGTCGGCGTGCCCGGGGTGGGTCCAGGCAGAAGCAGAGGCACGGGAGCAGGGTCCCCGGCTGGCAGGGCTCCAGGGTGGAGCAAGGACACACGAAGGAAGGGTCTGCAGGGAGGGACAGACCTGCAGCTGAGGCTTGTCCTCCCAGCCTGACCTGTGCTGCCCAGTGCTGCATTCCCAGGCAGCTTCCTGGGAAATAGAGGACTGATACTGTTGATCGAGTATTATCCTGCAAGCAGACCTAGAGGCTGAAGGGAGCTGTTGGTGAATCATGACATCAGTTCAGCAGCTCCGTTAGTCCCAGCAATTACTTCCAGCCATTTGGAAAAAAAGCCCAATGCAACAGTTTTCATTTTGGTAGAATTTTGGGATAAAATGGCTTCTTGTCACACAGACAGGCGCTACTTTTGTAATAGCTTATATGGCTGCTCTCCAGCTGCCGGAGGGAGGGAGGCGGCGTTATCTCCTGCGCTAGGCACACAGTGCCTGGTGGGAAGGGAAAATAAATCAATAACGGGCTTTTGTGAATAGGGACAGCTTTTGTTGCTGACCTTGGCTGGCTGGCACCTGGCAGGCAGTGTGGGCAGCAGGCAGTGTGGGCAGCGCACGCAGCGCAGGCAGCGCAGGCAGCAGGCACAGCGGGGGCTGCAGGGGCAGTGTGGGCAGCGAGGGCAGTGTGGCAGTGCCTGCATCTGCCCGGCTGAGCGGGGCTGGCTGAGACCACAGCTGCCCCGGGCTCCACCGGCTTGGTGGGACCCCCCGGCCCCACGGGGAAGGGTCCACAGAAATGCCCATGTGTGGGCAGTGGAGGCAGGGGCACAGCAAGGCAATGCCTGGAAATGCCATGCCAGGCTCGTGCTCCCGACTGGTGTGAAACGCCTGTTGCTTGGGATTTATTTCGCTGCCTGGTGAGCTGTCCTGAGCTGCCCTTTGGAGTTTCTGCTCCCACACGTGCCCTGGGCAGTGGCATCCGACACCAAATCCTGCCCTGGGCTCTGCTAGGCACAGGAGCTCCAGGCTCCCCAACATGGACCTCAGCTTCTGGGCCACACACGGTCTGCCCAGGGGGCTCTGGAGGCCCCGCTTTGAGCAATGTATGCATTTGTCCCAGCTTGTGGTCCAGGCCCATCCAGGTATCTTTGCAGGGAGGAAGAGAGACAGGTTTGGTTTCTTCACTTCCCGCCAGCTCAGGGACCTCGCTGCCCTCTGGTCCAGCTGCAACGCCCTCCCTGCCCGCAGCGGCTGCTGCATGCCCACAAGGGATGACTCCTGCTCTCCTTCCCACTCCCTCCCAAGCTTTGCATCTCTCTCCGTTAGGCACCTGCACCTGCAACTCCTGCCTCCTGTGCTTGCTGTGTGTCTTTAAATGCCAGTGGAGAGCTTTCTCCAGGTGCTGCTGGTTTTGGGTCCCGCAACCTCTGTTCCCTGTTTCTCTCCCCCTCAGTCCTTGGCTGCATGTGTTTTAATGTTTCATATGCCGTCTCTGCCTCCAAATACCTTTTCAAACTCAGACGTGGACTCCTCGTGTTTCTCGACAACCTCCTGCAGGTAAGAAGACACCATCCTCTCCCCGCCGCCTTTTCTAGCACTAACCCCACTCCCCAAAAACCTCACCACCCTGCTGATTCTGAGGGAGCATTTCCAGCTCCTTATGTCTGCAGGCTCTTGCTGCCTGCGGTGCACAGTGGGCCACACTCTGCATTGGCTGAACAGACCCTTTGATGCCCAGGACAACCGGAGCAAATCTGCCCCGGCAGCGGCTGCAATGGGCGAGGTGCTGGTGCGGGGCTCTCGGGAGGCAGCTGGGGCTGCTGCCTCTCTCCTTTTCTAAGCGTCTCTGCTTCCCTTTCAGCTTGACATCCACAGGACCCTTCCTTGCTCCTGCAGTCGTGCTTTGATCACCACGAGCAAGCGGCTGCCCAGGTGGAGGCTGAGCACCCAAGGAATAGCAGATAGTTGGAGAGAGCGGGGCAGCTCAGGCTTGCCGGGAGCTGCCCTCTGCCTGCCTGCAGAGCAGAGGGAAGGCACCTCCTCACTGCCTTAATAATAGCGATGCTTTTAGGTGAAAACTATCCACGCTGCAGGAGTGCACACAAGCACGCGATGCCCCGGGCTCTCGGTAGCCCCTGAACCACCAAAGGCTGACTGCCCATGCAGAACCTGCTAGAGAAGGGCACAGCGAGGGGTTACATTGCCCTGGAGCCTGGCACGCACTGTCTGTCATCTGTATCTGCTCGCGCTGGTTTTGGATTGCTCGGAGTCTTCATTGCAGTGGGTCTGCAAAATAGCAGTGTATGCGTGGAGAGAGGCAGGGAAAGGATTTGGCCCACCACTGCTAAATGGGCAAACTCTTGGCTTCAAGCCCTGGCTTTCATCACCACCACCATCTCCATTCATCACTGCGAGCTACTGAAAGTCAGCTCCAGGCAGCAACTCAGCAATCCAAGGAGAAAAGACAACTCGGGCAATCCCCCCGGGACGCGGGGCTCTCCCCGATGCACTCAGGCAGCAGAGGGAGGGACGCTGCTCTCAGCATCCTTGCTCCTGGGGTTCAGCGCACCTTCAAGTTCACTTCCAGGAAAAAGAAGTCCAGGTTTGCTCTGCTGGGTTTTTGCGATCAGTCAAAAGCAACCAGCACTGAAATATTGTAGTCTTTAAAAATTATACAGAAAAATAAATGCATCTGGCAACTACCTGTTGCTCTCTCCACGGCGCTTCTGGTATAAGCTCTGTCCCTGCTACTGAATTTACCCTCCCTTCAGTGCTGCCAGTGGGGCAGGACCCCCACATGAGTGTAGCTGTCAGGCCAAAGGGAAGAGTTAAGAAGCCTGTTCAGCTGCGGCCATGCACCCTTTTGCCACGCGGGCTGCCCGCAAGCGGCCTGGGAGATAACAGCAGATTATTTACAGTGGCCATTACCTGTAGCTTCCAGCATCTACTGGCTATCCAAATTCCTGAAGGAAATTAAGGAAATTAATTTTTCTTCAATGAAAGGATTAAGAACTTGTTAATTAATGGAGGGTAAAGAAAGAAGATTTTAGGCCAGGTGCTTTGCAGGCAGCATGCGCAGCAGCAAGGCTGCAGCTGGCTGCAGCAGCATGCAGCGGTGGAGCAGCAGCTTGTCTCAGCCTGTGTCTGCAAGCAAGGCGCAGTAAGTAACCCAGAGCAAACCACAAAATCCTCGCAGGCTCCCACAGGGAGCGAGCCCTTCTGCAGCCCTCATAGGCTCCAAGCAGATCAGGTTTTGGGGTTGGGATGCATGCAGTAGCATGGCAGTCAGCTGGTACCAGGCGCACTAACAACGGCAGCATTTGCAAATGCAAGTTCTGCCACGCTGGAGGAGGTGGAAAGGGCAATAGAAAGCAGCCGTTTCATGTGCTTTAGGGGAAAGCCAGCAAGCCAGGTGAGCACTGCATACAGTGTTAGTCACGTTTGAGACAACTGTGGAAACGGGATTAGCAGTAGTGAAGTGTGAAGCCACAAACCCCATGGAGAAGAGAAAAATAATGATAAAGGACGCAGAGTGGTTTGGAACAAGAATAAGAAACATCACTTGGAAATTACAGCCAACATCTGAAACATCCCCATTCGGTGGGCCAAGGTCATAAGACAGCATTAGGGAGCAGGTAATAGGCAGTAAGCTGAATATGAGCTTGTGCTCCGATATGGAGGGAATAATTCTACCTACCCGCAGCAGGTGCATCATGTCAGAGAGGACTGAGAGGCCAATACCATCAGGAAGAGATTTGTATGATGAATTCTTGTAAAATAACTAAAATAACTGTTGCTCCTCTGGGCATTTAGCCAAGTACGGAGTCCTTGCTTGGACAGCGGCTCAGGAGTCTCGCTTGGTTCAAGTAACATGTGTTTAACAAGCCCTTAGGAACCCAGGAGCAACCAGAGCAGGCCAATAACACCAGCCTTTGCGAACACCACAGCCAGCAAGGTCTCTGCCCCAGGGGGCTCACAAGGACCATTTTTTCCTAGGACACTTACTGACAGGGTGCTTTGTGCCAACAGCACCTCAGAAGCTTCTCAAAAGCTTCTCAGAATAATGGGACAGAGAGAACAGAGAAATGAGTAGCTTTTAAAACAGTAAAAATAAGTTGCCTCCATCCTCGTCTATCCCCTGCTCCTGAAATGAAGGAGCCTTTAATTCCCTCCTGTTTCTAGGAGAAACGAAAGTCTAAGACTTAACAACTCTAAGGAGGAGTGGAGGGAGTAGCCCTGAGCAGAGCCCCCTTACAGCTCCCCGAGGAGCGCTGGCCCCTGGCATCCCCACCCGGCTGAAGGGCAGCAAGGGAAACTTGCCTTTTTCTTCCTGCTTTCTTCTCTGCACTCAAATATTGAGTATATAACCTGGGCAGTGCTGAAGCAGGGAGAAGGACCAGTGGAAACAGGGACAGGCTTTAAGGATGGAGGATCACCAGATGTTATCTCAAGAAATAGCTACAAGAGGACTGGGATAAAGAAAAGTTACACAGGGCGCAGTCAGAAGCCAACAGCTCCATTTCCTGGCCGCCGGCCTCCCCGTTTCAGCAGGGGCAGACTGTTTGCCCGGCTCCCCTTGCAGCAGCCACGCTCCCGGGGCCGGAGCTGCCTTCGTGGGCTTTGTTGGCTGCTAGGCGGAGGAGAGCGATGGCTTTCCCTTGCAAGGGGGAGGAGGCAGCAGCTCCCTGCCTGCAGAGCGAGCAAATGGAGCCTCGCCACCACTGCTTTCTGTTTCGTTTCCCACCAGTGCCCTCCCTCTGGCACTCAGCCCTGTATGGCAGCCCAGGCGGTATGGCCGAGCTGGGTGCTGTGGCCGGGCTGGAGGAGGACCTGACCTGTCCCATCTGCCTGGGCATTTACAGCGACCCTGTGTCCCTGAGTTGTGGTCACAGCTTCTGCAAGGAGTGCATCCAGGAGGCGTGTAGCCGCCGGCATGGCCTGCAGGGCCCTTTCAGCTGCCCGCTGTGCTGTGCCCAGGCAGACCTTCCTGTGGAGCCGCAGCCCAACATCCAGCTCCGCAGCATAGTGCAGAAGTTTTTGGATGCTCCCACTCATCAAGAGGAGGAAAAGCAGGAAGTGCAATGCGAAGAGAAGGGGGAAAGTTCGGGCCAGCAAGACGAGGCGATCCTGTGTGATTTCTGCCTTCAGGAGCCCCAGCCAGCCGTGAAGACCTGCCTGAGCTGCGAGGCCTCCCTGTGCCAAGCCCACCTGAGCAAGCACAGCACAAAGAGCCCCCTGAAAGACCATGTCCTGGTGGAGCCCTGTGATGCTCAGGTTTTGGCTGAGAGGAGATGCTCCCAGCACGGCAAACTGCTGGAGTGCTACTGCAAGACAGACTCAGTCTGCATCTGCACGCTGTGCTGCATCACTGGCTCCCACAAGAACCACAAGATCACCACTTTGGAGGTGGCTTTTGGCCAAGCGCAGGTAAGAGGCTGTCCGGACAGCAGCCCGGGCACGGATTGCACTAGGAAAACCACAGGGGTCTGTGGTACGGAGAGCTGCCCGCAGCACAGGGATGAAACATCTCCTGAATTTCACATCTGCAGACTCAGGATGGGGCTAAATCTCCATCTTGGGATATTGGGCTTTTATTCCTAGTCTTGTCCCAGATTCCCTCTGGGCTTGCCCCTCGGGATATAAAACAAGATGTTATAAACACTTTCTTCCCATCCTGAGGGGCCAAACTGGTGGGACCCGGTGCTTGTGGCTACACTTTCAGTCCTTGGTGCACTTTCAAGCCAGAAGATCAGCCTGAGCTGCATTTATGCAAAGAAAATTAATGACAGAGTAACAGAAAGGAAGCTGTTGGCACTGAAAGTAGCTTTATGTGTGGCTATTGCACATGAACAGTTTTTGGTTTAAAAATGTCTTTCCCGTGCTCATAATTGTGGTATTTGTTCAGGGATAAAATCTTCCAGTAAACTTTAATGTATTGATTTGTCCTGAGAGCATGCAGTAAACAAACCTTTTGCAGGTCTAGCTTAACCCATTTCCACAAAAATGCTGATCTCGTGCACATATGTCGGTCCTATCCTGATATCTCTCTCCGGTTATTTTTATAGAGTGTTTTTCCTGAAACTCTGAAAACAGTGAAAACACTCGAAGATGCACTGAATCAAAGGATAGAAAACCTGCTGAAACAAGAGGAGGAAGTGAAGGTTTGTTCCAAGGTCCCATATCACTTCGGGGATGGTTGCATGCTGGTAGCTGATGAGATAAGGTTTTCTTTTGCCCTAGCCCAGATCATGGATTCCGAAGCTTTTTTAGTTCCTGGGTGTTTTCTCAGGTATTTTCTAGGATTCTTCTTTGAGGGAGGATGATGAACAACTTTCTTATCACTCTGAGAAGAACATTCTTAGTTTCCAAAGGACCTTTGAGCTTGAAAGTTGCTGTTAAGTCCATGCCTCCTGATTGGTGGGTGGTGGTTGGCTTTTTTTTTTCCCCACCTTATTCAATTTGCAGTGTCTAAAATATTTATGGAAAAGATACAGACCATGTTACAGTGATTTTATTCCTCTTTACAACAAGAAATTCCTTTAGGTTAGCCTGTGGTCCTAAGCAGTTGGTAGGAATGAGGTTAAAAGATTGCCCCAAAGTGTCTGGTTTTTGCTCCCAGCATGCAAATACCTATCTACAAGCTCTGAAACAGCAGAGAATTCAATGCAGGTATCCAAATCCTAGTTCATTCTGTTTAGGCAGAATTGGCACTTGCCTTCCTCCACCAGTAAAAGTGACGAGACTAGAAGTCCTGGCACTGGGCAAAGGAAATGTTCCCTTCTAATCCGAAGACAAAACTGTACCTGTTGGCAGCGTCCTGTCTAGCAGCGTAGCTGCTTTCGAGCACTGACAGAAGCTTGGTGGAGGCAGAAAGCAGAGAAACTGCTTTTCCTCACCCATCCTTAAAAGGACCAAAGTCAATGTATCTGCACAAAAATACCAGTGCAGAATAAGGAAATACCTGCATAGTGGAAAGCCTTCAGCCAGCATTGTGCAAGAAGCACTACTTTTTCATCTTTTTCTGGTCAGGTGCCAGACGCTGGGGAAGGCCACTTATGTCGCTTGGCCTTTCTGCTGTCAGTGGGACATCTTGGTTTGTTGTCATATGGAGAGGCACTAAGTAGTTACTTGTCTCAGCCCAGAAAAAAACAGGCTCTTTTCTGAGTGAGAGTTAGTGTGGAAAACGTAAGATTCAGTCCCTAACAGCTTTGGAAGTGTTTTCTTAATAGACTAAGGAGAGCCTGTGCAGGAATCAGCTGGAGAGCCTCTTCAAAGAGATGCATCTGCAGCTAGATAACAAAAAAGGAGAGGTCCTGAAAGCTCTCAGTTGCAACAAGGAGCGGCAGCTTTCTCAGATTCAGATGCAGATACAAAACCAAAAAGAGGCGAAGGATGCAGCCAGCCATGAACTACAGGAGCTGGAGGCTCTGAGAGATCAGAAAGACCCACTTCTTTTCACCAAGGTACCTAACAGCATCTCCCTTCCCAGAGATACTCAGCTCTAGGGCTGGCCTTTGCCTGCACTATGCTGATTCTACTTTCAAAATGTCTTTTACAGGCTTTTGCAGTGATTCAAGCCAGGTAAGCTCTTCCCGAGGTGGTCTGCTATTGCATTACGCATTGCTTCAGGTGACTGATAGTCCAGCGGTGGGGGTCTGCTAGCCCAGCCTGCATGCACTGCAGGCCCACCGCTCCCTGGGCTCCCCCGGCTGCTCCTTGGCCACGCTGACTGCACACTCTGACCCTGGCTTCATCAGAGACCTGGAGAAGCCCCAAAGTATTAACAGAGGTCATGTGTGACTCTTCATATACAACATGTCTTATTTTTCTGTACCCTCTGTACCTTGAGCCCATTCTGAGGGCAATTCCTGAATATTTAGGTCCCTGGGTGAGCTTGCAAAGGACAGATCAGCTTAAATATCCTGAGTTGTCCTCCAGTTTGCATTGCCTTCTGCTTGTAAGAAGCAAACGCGGCAGGAGCCAAAACATGCAGTGAAGTCATGAGTCTACAAAGGTCACAGCTTTTCTCTTGAGTCGTTCTGCCAGTGCCTGCCCAGCGCTGTTGCTCCCCCACAGCCCACCGCTGCATGCACGCAGGCTCCCCCAGCCCGGCCTTTCCCCAGCCCTGCCCTTCAGGCGCAGCAGCTGACCCTTGGCTGTGATAACGCAGCACTTCTCGTTTGCTGTCCCAGCATCCCAGCGGCTGCCCCTGGCACCTCCTTAGCTCCTGCTGCAGGAACTTGAGGACTGTAACCGTAAACATGACGCTAGCGTCTGTCCTGGCAAAAGCTGGGGCTGAGGTGGCTGAGACAAGGTCCTCTGGGGACAGATATTGTCCATGGAGTGAACTTCGTCCTAACGATGTTGAAGAGATTTGGGGTTCTGGGAAAAGACCGGTCAGAGGGGGAGTCCCCGGTAAAGCTGCAGAGGGAGGGGAGGACAGAAGCTGCTTTCTGTGTCTCCCATCGAGGCGAGGTGTGGAGTGCGGGATGCAGTTGTTGGCTCAGGGGTGGGCTTGGTGATGGTTTTCTGATGACTTGCTGCTCTTCTGATGTCTTTCTGCACGTTTTAGGAAACACAAGCCAGTTCCTAAGAAAGATCGTGTAAAACTGCCAACGCCACCCATTATTCTGGGTGAATTCACAACAGACAGTACTCTAAGGCTTTTCCAGCAATTCCTCTCAGACATGCAGTCCTTATTTAAAGCACCACCTGGTAAGTGACCATTTCACTACGTGACAAGCAAGACAGAGAAGGTAGCAAAACATATTTAAGGAAGGACTGTAATAAGACACCAAGTACCTCAAGTACCTCTAGAAGGACTGATTACTAACATTGTATTTGATTATTTTCACATATGTGTACCTGAAAAGGTGCTTGTCCTGGGCTTCAGCGCTTTGGGACATGCCTTGAATACACCCTGTTAAAGTGGGCTCTGGGTAAAGAGGTGTGGATGTCCTAGGAGTTTTCTGGGAGGATTAAGAGAATAGCAGCACCTCTTCTGCCTGTAGCATCACTTTGATGCAAAGCACAGGGAAAGCTGAGAACTCATCACAGCAGTGGCAGGTGGAGTTTGTCTTATGTTGTAAATAATCTACTCTTTCTATGTAAATAATTCTACTCTTTTGTAATGTTTTGTAAGATCAGTCTATAGCCCTGGTGCTGTGTGCTGTGGGATGCTTGTCCAACTGAATCGAAAAAATTAGGGCTCCGTTGTTATTGCTCTCTTGATGGTGCTTGAGCCCTTGCTGACAGTGAGCCTGGGGTCAAGACTGAGAGACAGCTGGGGTGGGGAGGCTCTGCCCAGCGCGTGTGCACACCTAACTGGCCACCGTGGCACAGCCTTGGGTACGCTGAGAAGCACACCATGCTCATGGCCGCTCCTGAGCTCAGTCTCTACCATCCCTGTAAGCATAGTCCAGACCTATTCTGGCTAGAAAGCCTCAGATCCAGGTTTTCCTAATTATCTATGCCATCTGAACAATTTTGGTTAGTTGCCTAAGTCGCTGCCACTGTTTCAGTCTCTTGAAGGAGTAACTTCAAGAGCAGAAAATGCCACAATATTGAAATGCATTACCTGCAAGAGAAGGTCTGAAAAAACCATTCTGCAAATTCCTACGTGTAGAATTAACTTCTTGTGACTGGTCATGCTAGGAAGTTTTGAGAGTTCTAGAAAATAACTTTAAATGATCCTAAGCAAATAAGCTTTTATAAAATGGTTGTGCTACTGTTCACACATTTCTTGCACATGGAAGTTAATCTGGGGAGTTTTTAAAAATGCCTAGTGAAGCTCTGCAGGACAATGATGGAAAATGAAAATCTAAGGGTTGCTGTAGTTGGAAACAAAACCCAAAAAGACACTTTAAAATTGTGAAAGAGCAGCATTTCTTGAAATGTGATACCAACCCCCTTTAGAATTACATAGGAGCAGCTAAGAGAGGTGCGGAAGGTGTTTCAGTTAACATGTACTTTTAATGACTTGGGTGGGTGGCACTGGGATAGGATGACTTGGATTGGGAAATCCAGCTTTCAGCAGTGGGGCTGTATGCAAATGTGCACAGTTATCTGTCAACTATAATGTGTTGTTTTTTCTTTCTATAGTTCATGAACATCTGACTTCTTCAATGTGGCAAAGAGGTGATTTGGCTTACAGTGGCAATGAAGTCATTGGCAGCTCATTCAGTTCTTACCAGCCTGGGTTCTTAAATACAGGCAGTGCCATCCCACACTTGCAGAGCGACCAGAGCTTCTCGGAGGGCTGTCACTTCTGGGAGGTGGACATCAGCAATGCGAGGTGCTGGAAGCTCGGAACCATTCATCCCAAATTTGAGTGCTACCTGCAAATGCCTCATGATTACCTCTGTATGTTCCTGGATCAAACAATGATCACAGTAAAGGTCTTTCCTGAAGGCCTCAAAGTGGTTAGGGTAGAGCTAAACTGCGAAAGAAATACACTGTCATTTTATAAAGTGTCTGCCAAGGATGGAGATGCTGCTAAGAGCCTCAGTCTTATAGAGACATTAAGCATCCCTTCAAACTATCCTGCCCATGCTACCTTCGGCGTGTCTCGCGGCCGTTTGAAGCTCCTGTAGTGATGTGGGGACAAGGTGCTGTTTTGTATTTCCAGGCCTCGGTATCGGGACTGGTGCTGCATGGAGGCTGTGCTAAGCTGGCATATTAGAAACGGGATTTTGGGCTGCTGTGACGGCTCATCTGTGTGAGGGCAAGGCCTCTGTGGGGTACATCACAGCACACTGCCGCTTACTGCAAGAGCTCCTATCTTATTTGTTCTGTAAATCACGATAGAAATACCATTAAGTTGTGCTTTTTTGCTGGGCTGTATCAAATGCTATGTTAGCTGCATGTTATTGAAGTAACTTAGTTTGAAAAACTCTATGGCAATTTAGTTTACAAAAAACGTGACAGCACAACGTTAACTGCTATAGAACTAAGCAGCAGCAACGCTGATCTTTGCTCTAATGCATCAGCTTTTACCTCTGCCCTCCTCTGCCCGTCCTGCACAACCTAAGCCATCCGTTGCAGAAGCAAAGCTGGCCTGGGAAGCAAGTAGAGACGAGGTAGGAAGACACCTGGCTCCCCTTGCTCTCTGCTGCTGTCCTCCCCTGTGAGCTCTCTGATAGATCACTTACCTACTTCTTGCCTCAGTTTTAATTTTCTCCTCACCTATGGAAAAATCTCACAGCAAAGAGAGTAATAAAGAGGAAAACTCCTGTGCCTTTAGTCTGTGCTATATGGGGCCTGGATTAGTTCGTTCTTATGATTGTCCAAATACCTCGGAGAGGAAGAGATGATATTCCTGCCTGTGGTTCTGCTGCCTTCAGGCAGAGCCATGGTATTTGCAAGAAGATGTCCAGGCAGGAGCTCTCCACCCCGGAGGGGACAGTGAAGGACCTTGAGGGACACTACAGTTTTGCATATGCTAAAAGAAATCCTTGTTCAGTCTTAGAAGAAAGTGGCTGTGTTTTGTCTTTTGCATTCTATACACCAAAATGATATGGAAAACCATGCAGGCAGAGTTGATTCTCCCAAACGCACCTGCAGTGGCTGCTGTTCTGCCTGGTCCCAGGTGGTACGGGTGCAAAGCGAGGTAAGCGAGGCTCGTGACACAGTACAGGGATGTTCCTATCCTAGAGTGCCTTTCCAGGAGCCTTTACCAGCCCCCGTTTCCCTGTCAGCTGGCTGCAGGTAGGAGACCAGCCTCAACAAATCCCAGTAAAACTTTCCCCTGGGTTCTCCCCGTTTTACCCTTAGGGAAGCATCTGTAACTGTTGTGGAGAAGAACCAGACAAAGCAGAGGGAATTCCTGGCTTACCCCAGCCAGGCTCCTACTCTTCTCACCCATGGTTTATCTCTGATTTGCTGCCCCTGGCATGGGATTGAGGATTTTTCTGGGAGAGCAGAGGGCTGTAGGAGAATTGTCTATCTCGTGCCCTGCATGCGAGTGCCTCCCCAGCACCCCCTGCTCCCACCAGCCTGCTGGGGGCTCACAGACGGAACGATGCTGCCTGAGACCACGCAGCTACTGAGGGCAAGCGTCTAAAAGTGGCTGCCGTGGTTTACAAGAGCTGTTTGCGGGTGGAGCCCAAGATGGGGAGCATATCTCTGCCGGCCTGTCACGGGGCGGAGAGGAAGGACTTGCAGCCTCTGGGCTGGGTCTCCAACCGGGGCACAGTGCCAAGGAAGTCCTTTTAGTTTCATTTCTCGCCGACTGGCTAACACGCCATTTCTGCAGCCATGGCAAAAGCTAAGGAAGAATCTGGAGGGGCTGCCAGCCTGGAGGATGAACTCAGCTGTCCCATCTGCCTGTGCGTGTACAGGAACCCAGTGTCGCTGAGCTGCGGTCACAGCTTCTGCAAGCAGTGCATCCAGAAGGCGCTCGGTGCCCAGCAGCAATCCAAGGCCCCTTACTCCTGCCCCATGTGCAAGCTCCAGCTGGGGCCCATCCTGGAGCTGCAGAAGAATTTCCAGCTGTGCAGCATCGTGGAGGCATTTCTGGCCACCACTTCCAAAGGACAACAGGGCAAGGGCTCTGCAGAGGGGAAGAAGGAGGCAGTTCCCTGTGACTTCTGCCTGGGTTGGCCCGAGCCAGCAGTGAAAACCTGCCTGATCTGCAACGCGTCTTTGTGCCAGGCCCATCTGAACAAACACAATGCCAAGGCTTCCCAGCAGGAGCACGTCCTGGTGGAGGTGGGCACAGGCAGCGTGGTGGAGGAGAGGATGTGCCTGGAGCACGGCAGGCTGCTGGAGTGCTACTGCCAGGATGAGGGGCAGTACATCTGTGTGCTCTGCTCTATTGCGGGATGCCACAAGGGCCACAGCATCATCACGCTGAAGGAGGCACATGACAAACAGCTGGTAAGGGGCTCTCCTCTCCCCACAGCCCCTGCAGGGTTTGCTCCAAACTCCTGATCTGGAGGAAGGGGGGAAGCCGCAAGAGGGGTGGTAAAGCTTTCACCGGGGAATGGGGATGGGGGGCGAGAGCAGGCAGGCAGCAGCTCAGGGAATGGGGATGGGGGGTGAGGGCAGGCAGGCAGCAGCTCAGGGAATGGGGATGGAGGGCGAGGGCAGGCAGGCAGCAGCTCGGGGGATTTCATGTCCGCCCCAGCGGGGACTGGTATGTTGTGCTGGAATTTGCTTTTCATTTCCTCCTTTGTGTTGCCAAAGCAACCTGGCAGGCTAAGCAGAGGGAGGAGAGCAGAGAAAGGTGTTTGGGGCTGGCCGGGACACAGGTGGGTAAATACTGTAGTGTGTGTTGACGTGGACGTGTGGGAGAGCAAGCGAGAGGCAGGCGCAGGGCTCCGCTGTCCCTTGCCACTGAAGCGGATGCCCATCCTATGCAGCCCCAGGCAACTGCAGACTGCCACTGACAAGTGTATTCCTGGCTGGGATTAAGAAGTATTCCCACAGGGATTAAGAAGTCTTTTCCTCCACAGAGCCTTGGGGACCCCACCACTGCTGAACTTTGGGTTGGGAACCAGGTTTTCCCACTGAAGGCCCTTCCCTCTGGCTCCCTCCTCCCTCTGCCCTAAGTTTTGCCGAGGCAGCGTCCCAGTGGGCACAGAGACATGGAGCCTCCATGTCCCTGCCTTTGAGCCCATCTGCCGTCCTTGATATGCTCCAGAATCAGCTGAGACGGAGGGGATAAAATGCATTTGCTATGCTCACTCACTGGCTTGCATTTGAAATTTCTGGGCTCAGTTTAGAGCCCAAGAAAAACAGCCTGCAGCAACCCAGTGCATGGGCAGGAAACGCCTAGCTCGCTCTGGACCTCAGGACAGGTCACAGCCTCCTCGGGAATTAGCAGGAAGCATCCTTTGCAGTTATACATATCGCAAACTAACTTTCTCCCCCAAGTTACATATAAAAAATTCAGGGCTGCCGAACAGAAGCGGGCTGTGTAGGAAAGTCACCATTTCCTTCATCCCTGGAGCTGATAAAGGAGCAACACTGCCCTGTCTGTGAGGGAGCCACCTCCATGGCTAAGCTGAGATCTCAGCTGCATACTCCTCTTGGGTGTTTTTTAAACTCCCCAGGATAGCCAGGGAAATCAGGAATGCAGCTCTTCAGGAGGAATTATAAAAGGGTTTTGGTGCAAGGAACCTTAGTCACATTCGATTATTTCTCTCTTAATTTTTCAAAAATTAAAACTTTCCAGCTGTGACAACTATCTCATGGAAAACCTAAGCTTTCTGGCATCATTTTTATTAAAGAAATGGGAATCTGGCAGCTGTGTCTGCCGTGGCCATTCATGGGTGCTCGAGGTGTGAAAACACCACTGGAGGCAGCCAGGAGCAACCAGAACCATTCAGACCCTGTCTAATCCCTGAAGAACGAGGTTTAATGTCCCCTCTGAAATGTGTTATCGTGCAGTATAACCGCACTCAATGATCGTGGTAGCCGTTAAAATAAACAGCTGGGTGAGTAAATACCGCTGTTTCGCTGCTCTTCGGAAAAGATGGTTGCTTATTACCTCAGATCCCACAGCTGCTGACAGATGTGAAAACTAAGGATTTGGATCACATTAGGCACATGTGAAGATTCTGGCAGGAACAGACCTTTAATGGATACAGTGAGATTTATTCATTTAAAGTGAAATTTACTTATTCAAAGGGAAAGTTGTTTATTAACCTACCACATACAAAGTTACACATATATAAAAATTAAACATTGACTTGAAAGATTTCAAGATCATATCAATTTTCCGCTATGCCCTATCTTCATGAGGAGGCACGTGAACGCAGTTTATCATAGAACTCACTGGTGAAAGCGGGCAGGTATAAGGCGCCCGTGCCATTTCACCAGCTCCACAAACTGCCAGTCTGGTTTAAAGCTACCCGTGCTGCTTTCATGCTATGAAGTTCAATGCTGTCTTTCCTTCTGCTAGGGTGAACTCTCGGACATCGTGACATGGCTGCAGGAACGTAAAAGTGCTTTAGCTACCGCCCTAGAAAAACTTCAGAAAAGCGAGAATCAGCTCAAGGTTGGTACCCAGATTGTCGCTAATTCAGAGCATCTTTCCTCCACAATTTCTAAGAAATTATGGCAACTATACTCTTAGAAGCAGATGACTAGAAAGAGGTATAGTGCAAAGCAGGGAAAACACTGGTGTAAGAAACTGCCAGAAGCCAAGCTGTCGCACAGCCTCCCAGCATAGCTCCACAGGAGGAACCAGCTGGGAGACTCCACCGTTTATTGTGGTTGCACAGACCAGGTTGCAGGACTGGCAGACCACAGATTGTACATATCATTACATATTTTTAAAGTTTTCTATCATCTGTTAAATAAAAGAAGAACAATTTGAGCCTACAAGTGGGATTTTCAGTGTGTACTGATACAGCTCTCACATTGCTAGCCGAATTTTATCTGATTTTGTTACTATGGCACAATAATTTTCATAACCCTCTGTTTAATCAGATATTCTAAGCGAATGCTTGTTGTCCACTTCCTTCTAAAGCCAGTGCAAAGGATAGATACAATCCTAATTAATGAACAGAGACACTAAGCTGGTGTTGGGTTCCTGAGCCAGCGCACCATTTTCTTATCTGTTCATTTAGACCAATACAAAAACAGTGACTTCTCAGCTGCAAAAGCTGTTTGAAGAGATGAAGACAGAGCTGATTCAGAAAGAGAAGAAGATCCTGAGTGACATTCAATCCAATGAGAAAAAACAACTGGCAGACATTACCAAAGCGCAGAAGGAAACGGAAGAGAGGAGAGATGAGGCTGCACAGCATCTTCAGTCTTTGCAGAAGATGAGAGAGCAACCAGATACTTTCATCTTCTTCAAAGTAAGCAGCGGTATTCTGTCTGGTTCATGAATACGCCCGTTTCTCAGCCAGCCACCCTTTCTGGAAATTACACTAACAATTTTTTTCCTTTTTTTTTGGCAATCCTATTTGTAGGAATTTAAACTGGCCATGGACAGGTACGTTCTACCTGAAAACACTTTTTCTTCTTTGAAAAAATATGGTGTTGATAACTGGGATCAAACCCCACTGCCTGTGCCCCTCTGTGCCGGCACCCTACGCTGCAAAGCTGCTCCCTGTTCCAGCCGAGCCAGAGGGCACCACGTCCGCACCATTAACGAGGATGGAGAGAGATCTGCCTGCCATTCCAGTGGTCCCTCTAAATTTCAGTTTCCTTGGCAGCTACATGGTTGCTGGATTCTGATGAAAACCACTGGCTTTTATTACCAAAAAAACGTTTTTATCAGAGATGAAGCCCATAGGGTTCAGTTTACAGCAATACTCTCTTGGATGCATATTGGTGACACTCCTGCACGTAAGTCCCAGCAAACAGCCTTTGGCTGCAGAGGTAACTGGCTCATTTCCCACTGATTTTGGCTTCTGCTTGTGGACAAGCTTAATAGCTAGACAAATCTACTATCCCTTCTCTTGCAAGTGATACATTTAATTTATAACTTATTATTTCCTAATTGATGCCTGGGTATCAGCTGTAATTCAATGGGGCAAAACCACACCAACGGTAAGTTACAGATCCACAAGAGATTTTGCTGCAGCACTAAACTCCCCAGCCGCATGAAGGGCTAGCTCAAATATCTAGCTGGATTTTAAGATGTCACCTCTGTAACTTGTACAAATTAAAGCTGAGTTCAAACTTGGATTGTAAGGATAACTTTGAATCGCCGTGTACCCAGGGGCTGTGCTGGCAACAGCACAGTCCATTACTCACAGCTGTGCTGCAAGTCAAAATCTAGCCTGTGAGATCAAAGTCGTGTTCCAGAAGCCTGGACACCATTTAATATGTTTGGCATTTTCTTTCTATCATGACGGCGGTTGTGCTAGAACAGTAAAAGTCTGCCTGCAGCAGGCCAAAGCACTGTTCGCACAAGGGTATTAGCAAAACGCCTCCCCCTGTCTCATTTTCAACATTTCAGTGTTCCCATCCAGGTTTGGTAAGCAAAAAGCATTGCCAGATAAGTAGCAATATATAACAGCTGCAACTCACTTAACCTTATCAGAGAGCTGTTCACCTGATACTTCATGTTGCCAAAGCACCCCCCTCTTTGTAGAGTCCTTCCAAACACAGGAGTTTGTTAACTTTCTAAAGCTAAATAGCTTTCCTTGCTGAAATGACTGCCTGCACCCTAGGATTGAGAGTCAGAATTTCGGCGTCAGCGGGATGGACGTGGTGGTAGTGCAGCTGGATCAGGCCAGGATCGACCACTACCGACGCCTGACGCGGGACTTCGTGAGTCGCCTGGGCTCGCTGCTGCAAGACGTGCACAGTGAGTGATCTGCCCCGACCCGCCGGCCACGCACGCCTGACCCCGAGCAGAAAACAGCAAGCCGTGGGGTTCAGTGAGCAGGCTGATGGCCACCGAATGCTGGCTCCTTTATACGGCGTGTGTGGGGCCTTGAGGGGCTGATGAGGATTTGGATGGGATCTTGGGGTGTTGGAGAGAGGAGGGCGATGGGGGCAGAAAGACTGTTTCTGCGGATAACAAGGAAGAGGTCTGCTCCTAACCAGTGTAAGGCCAGATTCTCCTCCATCTGATGTGGTCTCCTGCTCCCACCTACCTCCCAAGTCTTTGGATGCTCAATCACGCTTTCGAGAAACGTCCTCTTCATTTGCCCACCCCCATCTCCACCGAGTTTATCCCCATCCATGAGATCCAGGGGCACAGTACCAAGTCCCAAACTTGAATGCGTTGCCAGCTCTGTAAAATATTCTTCTCCATCTTTCTTAGGTGAACTCACCAACCAAATTAAGTGGAGCAGGTAAATCCTTTACTTACAAATGTTCCCTGCAAATTTCTCCAACAGTTGTTCATTTAAGGACTGTGTGTCCTGTGCTCCTCTGCTTTGCTTTCAAGGAGAGCCAAGCAGAGTCTAGAAGGCTGTCCTTTATCTCAAAAGAGGGGGCCAGAGCTATTCACGTCTCTTAGTTTGTTATTAAGAAGATGTGATTCGTGTTTTACGAGACACTAACATTCAACACTGTTTCTTTACAGCGGGGCTTCAGATACTGGTACCTCTTCAAACTGTAAGTGTTCAAAAACACTAGTTATTCCTCAGGACTCTGGCCTGGGGCTGCGAGTCTTGCAGAGAAAATCTCTCACCTAAAAATGTGAACAGCTTTTTGTTGCATGCCTCTCCTCTCCTTGCCAGAGGGGAGACGAGCAGGAGGGCAGCCTCAGGGCACCGTTCTCAAACTGCAGTGGGCAGAAATCTCCGGGAACTCACTGGAGAAACCATTTCTCTTTGGCCTGAGGGAGAGACTGGGTTTGCTTCAGTACGGAGTGAAGTCTGAGCCTGCTCCAAGGCAAGGCCGTGGAGGGCTTCCCACCAACTGAGCAGGAGCTGGAGCAAACCCAGTGCCTGAAAGGATTCCCAGAGAAATCCGAATGCTGCAGGAGATACTAAATCTGCAAACAGTATTTCTTTTCAGATAGCAGTAGTCCAATGCTCAAATAGATTTCTGCTAGGTACAGTGGTGCATCTTTTCTACAAGCTTTTTTGAAGACTTATTTAGAAGTTATTTGATTTTTAATTGCTGCAACTAAAGTTCAGTTTGCAAACAAGTTTTTCTTAATTATAAATTGAAAATAAAACCCTACTTTCTTTATCACTTTTTAATTTTTGGAGGGGAAAAATATTCTCTTCTGATGAGCATTTCTTAGCAACAGCTTAATGGTAAAATTTTACTTCGGAAGGGATGTGTTTGAGAACAGCTGTTCAATGCGGGGGTTGAGGACAATGTAGTCTTGCCCTAAATGCAAACATATTTGTTTTACCAGGTGCATTTGAAAAACCAGAAAAAAATCCTGTTTTCTTTTTTCAGTAACTCACGTAGGTGATGATGGATGGAGAGCACAAGAGGCATGCAGTGCAGGTAAGCGATTAAATGGAGTTTTAATCACACAGCGCAGCTTAACAATACAGTTGCGTTCATTTAACATAATGCCAGCCTCAAATCTAGAGGTATATTTTTAATTCAGTGTATGTGGCCATTCATTTGTCTTGTGAGCTCAGTCTCCTACAGACATATTAATGTCTGTGTTCTATACAGAACCAGACAGTTACTCAAAACAGGGGAGGGAGAAGGAATATTTTTTTCTGAGGCAATGCAAAGCTGTACTTGGAAGCAACTTGTCAAATATGTTATTAGCATAGCAATAAAACATTATTTTATTATTACAGTAAGTGAAGCTTTTCTATCTTGTCTATTGCTACAGCACTAAACCAACGGAAAAGATCAGCGCGCTTCAAGTGGCAGATGTGAACAAAGGGTATGGTCCACATATGCCCAGAAGTAAGGGAGAGATGAAAAACGAAGTCAGAACTGAGATGGAGAGAAAGTTAAACATTGTCAAAAATGTCCTTTAGTAACAGGGACCTGCCAAGTGCCTTGACTTCCCCTGCACACCTGCTATTAAAAGCAATGCTGTAGCATATGCCAATTTAGAAAAGAAGTGAACACGAACCGAAGAAAATCTCCAGCTGCTGCTGGCTTCCAAACTGTGGACTATATCATCTCATGGTGCTCATGATACTTGTGTATTATTAACTGTGGTGACTATGTTGTCGTTATGTGGTTGGGTAACAAAACAAATGGCTATACATACAGCTAAGCAAGGCTGGCTGATACCATACCATCACCAGGAATTAATTGTGGAGAGCATCATTTGTGGATGGCTGCAGTAGAAGGCTGTTCAGGACCATGCCACAGATTTGGATTATCATATTTAACACAAGTGATCTTTGTAGCAAAGAATTAACTGTCTTTGTATGAAACCAGCTTAGTCAGCCTCTAAGCCACGCTTTAACACTTCTCCTACAGAGTGCTCGGAGAGTCATGCAAAATACCACGATCAGCGGTGTACAAAGACGCTTTACTGGCCACATGTCCATGTGTACAGATGTTCTTTAATGATCAAGCACATGCTGTGCTTTCCAGATGTAGCCATTATTGCACATGTCAACTCCACAAAGGGATTTCACGGGCCCTGCCAGGCAGATACGCTTACTCTTTGTTCCTGTAGGCTGCTCTGTGTCTTGCTGTGGTTCAGATCCAACACGTAGGTTCACAACCTGGGTGTTTCTTCTCCAAATGATAAAAATATTCTACCGCAAAGCAGGGTTGCGAACAAAAACATTTTTAAGAAATAAAGGCTAAAGTTCTGGGTGCTTCTATATAAATTAGGATTCATGGCTACAACTCTATTCTGTCACTTATGATAATCAACATATACCTAATTGCAGGGATCAAAGCCAATAAACTCAGCAAAATCCATCTTGGATTTAGAGGAACGTCTCCCTTCATGGTTTAAACGGACTCACCAAGCTGTAATGGATCCGCAGCCCTTGCTCTGCTGCACACATCAATTGTCAGCATAACAGAAAGTGCGTGGCCAAATTTTGGGAGCTCAGCAGTAGCTCAAGGTGACTTTGCAAATATTCCCTACTGCTCGAAGCCAGCGAGACACGAAGGACAGCTGCTCTCAGCCACTCAAGTGAGGCAAAAGAAATGAGTCTGTCCTTTGGCACTTTTATTACCTGGGCTTCTCTCTGGCTGCCAGGTAGTTATTGCTGTCGCCCCGGGTGAAGGAGCCGTGACCAGCCAATGCAGTTCAGTGCCACTGCTGCAGACAGCAAGTTCCTGCACTGCTGCAAATCACTACAGAGAGCGAGAGAGCTATTCAAGCACGGTTTTTTAAGTAAGTCACTCCCTCCCCCCCCCATCTTACAGCGCATCCTACGCTGACGAAATGTCAGCACCTCTGTAGCCCCTTCTGAAACAACAGGTTAGCATTTCCGCAGCGAAACCCGTGTTACAAACGTATTCCCGTGCCTCCAGAGCACCGCTCTCCCCCTCGCCAGCAGAGGGAAAGGGCACCTGGCAGCAGGGTGCTGCACAACTGCTGCGCTCCCCGGCAGCTGCCCCCACCAGCATGTTTCTGGGTACATGGCTACCCCCTTGCCTGCAAGCAATTCTCATTTTTTTAACAACATTTCTGACAGTCTTGGAGAAGCCATGATGATATTTTCTTTCCCCAGGGAGGATGAGGTACCGACTTGCCTTTTCCTCCAATGCCAGCTGTCAGCTCCCTGAGCCTCTGAGCCCCTGCCAGAATTGTCTGTGACCCGTTCCCAGAGGGGTCCTCCCAGTTCTCACGAACGGAGTCACATTCACAAGAGGCTTTCAGAAGGGCTGGGGGCCGCTGAGAAGCGAGTATGCCTGCAGCAGGCTGGGTACAAGCCATTCGTGCTTCAAGGAAGAGTTCTGCAGCCCTCACTAGACAGTTGTAACGCTGCCTTTGAAGCATTGATCACAGATAATTAATACATTATCGCACTAAGATTAAAGTACCTAGGATAACTAAAACCCGGGACCAATGGGACTTGTTGACCAAGACAGTAATTGTCTGGATGGAACTTGCCTAGCGTCTAATTTGGAGGGAAAAGTGCACGTAGCTCTTCACTGCTAGGCTTATTGGACTCGAATTTGTGGCTGATGTAAACACTTGCCAAAATGGAGCAGAAGAAGGTGACTCTATTGTAAGCAAAATTCATGTGATTCAGGAGATAAGGACTTCATAATTGCTGCTATATGGCAAAAGCAAAGGATTTCCTTTCAAGTAGACTGGAAAAAATATAATTTTTAATACTGCTGCAGGCTCACAAAGCTTTTGGATGAAAATTAGTATCTAGGAGGTAGATTTTCTGAGCTAGATACTAAGCTGATGGTGCAGTTTACCTCCCCCATACATTTGTCTGCTATAGTATTAGCAAAGATAGACTCCTCTGAATTTGAGACTTGTCCTATTTTTAGTATGCCATGCATTAGCCTTGAGGAAGCAAAAAGAGGTGAAAGACTAGATTAAAGCAATGTAAGAAAATACACCGGAGTCCAGCACTTATTTAACTCAGCCTTCTAGCCCACAACAACACTCTGAAAATATTAACACATAATTAGTTTTTGACTCTAGGAGACAATATTGGACCGTGGCATACACTGAGAGTGTAGCAATTCTGCACAGATATTTGAGCAGAACACTTTCTTGATAGCAATATAATTGTGAGATACGTAGTCCTGAGATATGGACAGAGCTTATTGCTTGTTGATATCTTTATGGCTTAAGTATTTTGATTACCTAAGGACCCTGATTCATCGCATCTTTCATTATTTATTATGCTCTTTTCCCTCCACCCACTTCATTTTTACTTGGCATTTTTCTCATCCTTGATGGAAACCTTTAGAGGGGAGGAGAGTAAAGTAGCTGATTTTATGGC